AGCCACACAGAAGATAAACATTGCATAATCATCAATTTTCTCTTACCTGGCATAATATGGTGTGAAAAATACAAAATATGGAGTTAGAGAACTTTGTCAAAATTTTAGACGTCCTTGCCCTCAAGGATCTTACATTCTACCAGGAAAGACACACAGGTAAATACAAAGTAGATACAAGATAATTTTTGAGGGAGAATGCACTAGCACTGGGGAGAGGGAAATTGGGAAAAGCCTCTTATAGAAAAGGTAGCAATTGAGAATCATAGGAAATTGGGGATTTTAAGCAGTAGAGCTAAGAAGAAAGTAAATTTATAAACATGAGAGATAGCCAGTGCAAAGGCATGTAGAGTGGGAGATAGAGTGGTATATATGAGCAACAGGAAGAATGTCAATACGGTTTGGTTATAGAGCATGTGAAGAAAAGTAATGGATAACAAAACTGGAAAGACAACTTGGGGGCATAGTGTGAAGTGCTCTGAATGACAAAGGAGTTTAGTTTTGATCCAAGGTGTGAAACAGAGCTGCTAGTATTTATTGAGTGACATAGTCACACTTTGGCAGCTTTGTAGATGATGAACAGGAGAGGGCAGACTTGAAACAGGGAAATCAATTGGGAAGCTAGTGGTGACTGTGTGAATAGGGAGAAGAGGACAGAGTAAAAAAATCCTGTGAAGGTAGAAACAGCAAGATTTGGCAACTGTTTGGGAAAGTGTAATAAGAGATAGTGAGGCCCCAATTATGACATCAAAGCTATGAACCTAGGAGTCTAGAAATAAAAAATGATCCTATGACTAAGGGATTGTTAAGATCCCTTTCAGCTCTAAATTCATGATCTTTGGGTATTGCATAAAATATCTTCAATTAACGTGAATTGAAATTGTAGGCATGAGGTAGGAAAAGAATGACTCCATGTCTCAGGCCTTAGTTTTTTTTTTTTTTATAATACAGGGGAGGAGTCAGTTGAATTGTGATGTTCCATGAAATACCCATTCATTTCAGATATTGAGTTCCTACTATACATAAGTCCTAATTCCCCAAGAGAAATCCAGTACATTCTTTTCCCCCACCTGAGCAAGTAATTGTCCATTTTTAACATCTGTCCCAGATATTCATACTCAAGGAATTGCTTATGATTTTGATGTATACAAAGTTCTTTCAATGAAATCAAATATCACCCTGAAACAAAGGCCCATCTTTTTAATGTCAATTTTCTTTAGGTAAATAAATCAATGAAAAAGCACTTATTAGGTGCCAGGCATTGTGCTAAATGCTGGGAATACAAATAGAAAAAGTGTCATAATCTCTTCTTTCAAGGAGCTTCACAATCTAATTGGGAGAGGCAATGAGTAAAAGAAAATTCAGCTTTGGGGTACATAGAAAGGTTCACTAACCCTAAAGATTCTAAAGCAGGGTAGATGGCAAGGCCCAGGGGTCCTTAGGTTACATCAGCAGGTCAGACTATGGTATCAGGGATCTGCATACCTTAGAAGAAAGGGAAATGGTAAGACCTAGAGAACCTTTGGAGAGCATGACAAGGCAGATGATGTGAAAGAAATGGTGTCCCCTGATAAGGTAATTCCAACCCTTCCCCCACAAAGAACTATGAGATTATGTGAATAAAGGCTGTATTTTATTCCCTTTCTAGCTGGCAACAACAGGATAAGCTTGACTGACTCAGTCTTGAAAGAGCCTCCACTACCTTAGATATTTACCAAAAATCCAGGATATTCTGAGAAGACTAAACAGAGAAATGCATTTTCTCATAGCAACAAACCTGACTTTAGCAACTCTTGTGACCCCAAGGCTTGTGCACATCTTCCAAATTCCTTAGTGCACTACTAAATTTCTTTTCCTTTCAGTCTGGCTACTCAATTTTTGCCATCCTCTCCCCAGTCTTACAGATCTCATGGTGGGTGAGACTTTCTTTGGGCTCTCATGTAACCCAAGCTAATAAATTCCCATGATGATAGTTAAAACCTACTAGTCTTCCATCTTACCAGAAGAAATAAAGTTGATGACTCCTTGTTCATCCAAGCCATGTAAGCAATTAAGCAATCTGAGTGGCTTAGTGATATACACTGTCCCAAGAATTAAAGTTACAAGTCACTTAGATACATGATGGATAGGCATATGGTGGGTATGAGCATGCTGCAATGTATCACCACAAAGACATATGATCAGAAAATAAGTTTGTCTGGTTATGTGTGGAAAGTGAAGGAAAACCAGAAGGATAACCAGCCCATGAACTTTATTGATTTTCACACAATGTCAAGAGATCAAGAGGAGGATCCTCACTCAACAGATTGAGTGGATCCCCTGTAGAAGATTTATGAGGGACTATGGGCTCCTTGGGACAGGTAAAGTCACCACTGTACCCATTGAAACCAGCCCCTCCATAATATAAGTATTTCTTTGACACTTTTTTTTTCTTTCTGCCTTCATTGAATATTGTGGTGAAATAGAGTTGAGAGATCACTTGGTTCCAAGTACACAAAAGATAGAATGAGCCCCTCTGCCTCTTCCTGGTCATCTAGAGGTCACTTTTCTTACTAATTCACCAGCACATCTCAGTCCCAGACCCACTCTAAGCTAAATGCTCATCAAAATCCAACACTAGTAGCATCAAAGACAAAAAGCAACCAGATCTACTGGGTAAAGAGGAGATTCTATCACCCCATCTTTGAGTGCTGCTACCTTCTCTTCCACTGTCTCTTATCCAAGAAAACAAAACAAAACTATATGTTGTGTAAATAGAATTGGTTTTGGAGGCAGTGGGCCCATCTAAACTCAGCTTCTCAATCTGTCTATGACCTTAACCTCTCTGGGTCTCAACTTCCTCATCAGTAAAATGAGGTGAGTTAGATGACCTCTAAGTCTAGTGATATCTTTCACCTGCCACACCTACTCCTGACTATTTTAAAAACTCACCACCTCAACTGCCTCAATGAAAATGGCTTCCCAGTAAAACAGAAAAGAACAAAGCGGAAACATCTTAAGTAAGTAAGATTTCTTAATTACATGCATATAGCAAACTGAAGGTATTTGGGGAGGTCTCATTTATGACACACCCTAGCCATGCAGCTCAGAAGGAACATTAGGCCGTTTGGAGCTTAGGGTTCTCTATCTTGTTCAATGCCCTCATTTTAGAGATGAGTTTCAAAGGCCTATATAGCAGCTAGGTGGTGTAGTGGATATAGTATCTGGACACAAGTCATGAAGACTCATCTTCTAGAATTCAAATTTGGCCTCAGACACTTACTAAACCCTGTTCCCCTCAGTTCCTGTAAAATGAACTGGAAAAGGAAATGGCAAAGCACTCCATTATTTTTGCCAACAAAACCCTAAATGGGATCATGACTGAACATCAATGACAAAAACTAAAGTCGTTTGGAGGTAAATAATTTGCCCAAACGCACATAGATAATAAAGATCTGAGTTTTGAACCCAGGTCCTCTGTCTTCAAATCCAGTGTTCTTTCCATTAGTCCATGGGAGGGATGAGGTGGGGGTGGGCTACTCAAACTCTACCCTTTATTCTTATAAGATCCTGAAGCCAGGATGACCTACATAGACCTCAACCCTACTTTTCTAGTTCCACTTCAGCTTTGGGGAAAAAGTCAGCAGTTCTATGAGAATGAGATTGAGTCTCACCACTTGCAGATGGTGTGATGCCTGTCTGCTGATGATTTCTAAGACTGAGGACAAAAAGAAGGTCTGAAAGGGTCCAAAGCCCAAAAAATTTCTGAAGCATTTCTATTAGAAAGACTATTTCAGCAAACAAACCTCTGAGCATTATGTAGTCTCCAAAAGCCCAGATGTGTTCAACTCTTACTAGGACTTTTAAGTGAAGTGCATAAGAAGTAGATCCCAGTGTATATTTGAAATATACTAAGGTTGAGAGGACTCTTGCATAACCCAAGGAGTTTTATCATTTTGATTTGGTTTTTGGTCACTCTATGCCCTCTATATGAAAAATAATTACCTTACGTAAACTGTGGCTCAGAATGACATCTTCTCACTTACTAAGACCAGGTCCAACCTTGAAGTCTTCTTAAACACTCTATGCCTTATTTCTTTTCTATCTCAGAAACATCTGAATTGGTCTGATTTCCTCCATTAAGCGTCCTTAGTTCCTCTGGAAACATCCTTGTAAAGTGCAGAACATAATAGAAGTTTATACAAATGCATGTCAAGAATAGTTCCATCCACAAAGTTCATGGGACTAGCTAGTCAAGTCCCTGTTGCATGTTCTCCTGGGATGTGTCCTAGGTTCAGCTCTCTTCCTCCTCTCTGAGTCTTGTTTTCTCACTTGTTCTGGTACTTTTTCTCAGTCTATATCCCTATTTCTCAGTTAACTATGATAGCCAACAGCTGCTGCTTTCACAGCTGGCTCTCATTCTTCATGATTACCACCCTGGAAAGTTTCTTCTTCCTTCTCCCCGAGCTCCCACCCTGCCACCCCCTACTCCAGGCTGTTTTTTTTTTTTCCATGCACATGCAAACTAGGGTTTGTCTTCCTCTCTGTGCAGGTGGAAGTGTGAGTAAAATGGGCTGTCCCCATCCTTCAAGAATACTACATCCTACATCAATCACAAGATCACAGGTGTATAACTAGAAAGAACCTCAGAAGTCATCTAGCTTAGACCTTTCATTTTGCAGATGAGAAAACTGAGGCCAAGAGAGGACAAGAGAATTTTCCAAGGTCCCACAGGTAGTAAATGACAAAGGCAGAATTTGAATAAAGGTGAGATCTCCTCCTTGTATATGTCCATTGTACTTCAAGCAAATCCCCTTGAGCCGCTACAATGCTTGACAGCCCATCAGGGAAAAATTCCTTCTCCTTTAAAGTGTATGTATTTTCTGTAGGCTGAAGGTTGGGCAATATTAACTGCAGAGGGAAATAGGGTGAAAATAAAATATGTATTGAGCTCCCACTATGTGCAAGGCATTCTGTCCATAAGCCTTGTGTTCATTTTTCATCTTTCTGATCAAGGTTCCATCATGGATTCTCTCACTGAGGCAAACAACATGCTTGCCATTACCCTTCTGAAAAAGCTTTGCAAAGAAAAAACAGAAAATGTGTTGTTTTCTCCCCCAAGCCTCTCATTTGCCCTGGCCACGATTCTCTTGGGAGCAAAGAATGACACAGCAGCCCAAATAGAACATGTAAGTATGTAAGTCACAAAGGAAGGAAAGACCCAGTGTAATTCCTTCCAAATAAACTGTCAGTGGCTGCTAATTTATCCCCTGCTCTCCTACAGTTAAATAAAACACATTCTGGGCTGGTGGCATTTTTAAAATTTAATTTTGTGAACTTTTAAAATATTGAAAAGTTTTATCCTTTATAAAATTCTCTGGGTCTCTTATGGGGGTGGAGTTAAAAAATATCCAACTCTAGTTATTCCAGATCAATATGCAAGTTACTTCTTGAGCTTTGCTGAACCAGAACGGGGCTTCCTCCCAACCCCTTTCAAATATATCTTTATAGAGTCTTTGGATTTCAGAAAGATATTTATACTATGAACTTAGAATCATATCTGAGACTCTAGGCTTGGAGTTTGGGGGATGGCTGTTCTGCTGGGCAACATGTCAGGAAGGTTTCAGTGAAGTGGTCTGCTTCACTTCTTTCTTACACTTGACTTCTCCCCTTTACAAAGACTCTCAGCCAGCATTGAATAATATCTCCCTCCTATCTTTCAAGGGTCTGCCAATCTTGAACATCTTAAAAATCAAATCCTAAGTTTTTAAAATTTTTACCTCTCTCACAGACTTCTTACATAAAACTTGATAACTGGTTACTCTCCATAACTTTATTTTCTTAAGTGCCAATTAACTTTTCCTTCTAATTCTAACTGCGTTTATTTTGACTGCACAAAGACTGTGGGTCTTTACAAAAGTTGCCTTTTCTAAAGGTAACTTTATAAAAGTTGACTAGCTGTTGGGATGTAAAAATACATCAACAAATGCAGAAAAACAGAAATAGTAAGCACAATTTTTACTGACTACAACACAAAATTAAAACCAATAAATGCATTTGAAGAAAGAAATCAAATCTAAATGGAGACTAAATAATCCTAAAGAAGGTGAATCAAAAAAAATATCTGATGATAGGTGTCTCTGTACTTAATGAGGCTGGCCTTCAGGCAGACCTGTATCTGCAGCCTGTCCTTGAAGCCTTCCTAGCTTGGTGTGAAACCTCCCAGAGTTCAGGATCCATTGGCATGTCCTGAGAGAAATAAATCACCTAGCCCATCAGACACCAGAAGCGAAGGAGCCAATACAACAGCATTTTGGACTTTAGCTAATTAGCATTTAGCATAAGCCAAAGACCTCCAGTAGTAAGAGATAGTTTTAGGTGCACATAGACCCATTTTTAAGTGCACACAGTAATTGTTCATACTTATGTTTTGTTTTAACATAGCACTGCCAGGCAGGGTTTCCCAGTTGAGGTAACATTCAACAGTAATTTGACTAGACCTCACTTTCCTATACTGTGGGCAAACAGTGAAATGACTTTCTTGTATTCAGACCAGTGATACACCCAGAAATGGAACCCAAGTTTTCATGTCAAAAGATTTGTAATTCTCCAAATTTCTGCTTTCCTATAAACTTGTACAAATCTCTAGAACATGCATTTAAACTTTGTTTAAATATTTAAATTTCAGCCTTTGTAACCTTTTGAGAGGGTAAATATATAAGTACTCTTTGATATTCAAGTTCTTTACCTTTAAAGGGGTCTCTAGTCTAATAATTCAGGCTTTGGTCAGTTCCATGTATACATTTTCATAAGAATCCAAAGCAACTGAATTTGCCCATCTTTCCTGTTGGCTCTTTTTCCATTTCTGCATTCATTAGACTCCTAGAACTAAAAAAGACTCTTTTCATCCCTTCATTAACATTTAAAATTTCTTTCCAATTACATGTAAAAATATTTTTTAACATTCATTTTTTTTTAAATTTTGAGTTCTAATTCTGTTCTTTAAGGGATTCTCTCCCCTAGACTTTTGTGCCTCTTTTTTGTATTTGGCCTATTCTGTTTTTTAAGGTGTTATTTTCCTCAGTACTTTTTTGTGTCTTCTTTACCAAGCTGTTCACTTTTTTTGTTTTGTTTTGTTTTTGTTTTTAGGCAATTGGGGTTAAGGGACTTGCCTAGGGTCACACAGCTAGTAAGTGTGAAGTGTTTGGTCTGAGACTGGATTTGAACTCAGGTCCTCCTGACTTCAGGGTCAGTGCTGTATCCACTGTGCCACCTAGCTGCCCCTTGTTCACTTTTTCCCCCCACAATTTTGAGTCCCTTATTAAATCCCTTATGAGTTACCTTTCATGTTTGCCTTTTTACACTTCTCTTGAGTCTTGTATTTGGAAATCAAATTTTCTATTCAGTTTTAGTCTTCATTAGGAATGCTTGAAAGTCTTTTAATTCATTGAATATCAAATTCCCCTCCCCCACGCCCCCCCCCCCCAAAGGATTATACTCAGTTTTTCTGGCTATGTGATTCTTAGTTGTAATTCTAGCTCCTTTGCCTTCTGGAATATTATATTCCAAGCCCTAGATCTGATCCTTTATTGTGGAGGCTGCCAAATATTGTGTGACTCTGACTGTGGCTCCATGAAATTTGAATTGTTTCTTTCTGGCTGCTTGCAATATTTTCTCCTTGACCTGGAAGCTCTGGAATTTGTCTATAATATTCCTGAGAGTTTTCATTTTGGGATATCTTTTAGATGGTGATCAGTAGAGTCTTTCAATTTCTATTTTACCTTTTGGTTCTAGCATATCAGGGCAATTTTCCTGGATAATTTCTTGAAATATGATGTCTAGGCTTTTATTTTTATCATGGCTTTCAGGTAGTCCAATAATTCTTAAAATATACCTCTTCAATCTATTTTCCAGGTCAGTTGTTTTTTGTCAGTGAGAAATTTCACATTTTCTTCTGTTTTTTTTTCTTTTTAAACTTTATTTTATTGTTTCTTGATGTCTCACGCAATCATTAGCTTCCACTAGTCCATTTTTTTCCTTTTTTTATTAGTTTATTTTGATTTATCAATAATCACTTCCATATTCTTTTGAGTTTAAAATTTTTCTCCCCCTTCCTCCCCACCACCCTCCCCAAGATGGTGCACAATCTGATATAGGCTATACATTTATATTCATATTAAACATATTTTCACATTAGTGATGTTGTAAGTAAAAATTAAAAGCAATAGGAGGAACCATCAGAAAGAGGAAACAAAACTCAACAGAAGAGAAAAAAAAATAGCAATTCAACTTCCATAGTTCTTTCTTTGGATGTGGATAGCATTTTCCATCACAAGGCCTCTGGAGATGTCTTAGATCCTTGTATTGCCAGGAAGGGTTAAGTTTATCAATATTAGTCGTCACACAATGTGGCTGTTATTGTGTACAACATTCTCTTGGTTCTGCTCACTTCACTTAGCATCAGACCATACAAGTCTTTCCAGGTTTTTCTGAAGTCAGCCTGTTCATCATTTCTTATAGCACCATAGCATTCCATAACATTCATATACCACAACTTGCTCAGTCATTCCCCAATTGATGGGTATCCTCTCAGTTTCCAATTCTTTGCCACCACAAAAAGAGCTGCTATGAATATTTTTGTACATGTGGGTCCTTTTCCCATTTGTATGATCTCTTTGGGATATAGCCCTAGAAGTGCTATTGCTGGGTCAAAGGGTATGCACATTTTTATAGCTCTTTGGGCATAGTTCCAAATTGCTCTCCAAAATGGTTGGATCGTTTCACAACTCCACCAACAATGCATTAGTGTTCCAATTTTCCCACATGTTCTCCAACATTTATCATTTTCCTGTTTTGTCATGTTGGCCCACTAGTCCAATTTTACCACTTTTCCCATCTGGCCAATTCTGCATTTAAAAGAGTTCTTTCCTACAGTATTTTTATGCCTGTTTTTTTTTTTAACCAAACTGTTGACTCTCTTTTCATAATTTTCTTGTAGCCCTCTTATTTCTTTTCCTGATTCTTCCTCTACCTCTGTTTTTCTTCTTTTTCATTTTAAAAATCTTATTGAGGTTTTTTAATGAAGTCTTGTTGGACTTGTGTCCAATTCACATTTTTCTTTGAGACTTTGCTTGTAGAGTTTTGACATCACTGTCTTCTTCTGAGTTTGTGTCTTGAGCTCCCCTGTCACCACAGTAACTTTTTATGGTTAGGTTCTTATGTTGTTTGGTCATTTTTCCAATCTATTTCTTGACTTTTAACCTTGTGTTAAAATTGGTCTGTGCTCCTGAGTTGGAGAACACATTGTCCCAGATTCAGGTTTTTCATGTTGCTACATTCAGAGCTAGTTCTGGGGGTCTGTAAGTTTTTGGCACTTCCAAGGTTATATGATATAAGGAGAGGTGTGGGTCACTGCTCTCCTGGCCTGTGCTCTCTTCTGTGAGTGACCACAAGCACTCTTTTCTGTCACAGAACTGTGATCAGGTTCCCCACTCCCTTGTAACCATATCCTTCGTTATGCTTGTGCCCTTCCTCACCCAGGACCGTGACCTAGAATCAGGTATGGGCAACACAATGGAATCTGGCCCCCAGTGCCAGCAAAGAGTCCCCTGCAATCTCCTTCTGATCAGCTGTCTGACCTCTTACCACCTGTGGCACTGCTGATCCAGTTGCCCTCAAGGCCTGCTGCTGGCTTGCAGAGTGAGGCCTGTGCTGGGCTCTGTTCCACTTCTATCCCAGTGAGACAGCCCTTGCCTGCTGACCTTCTAATTTATCTTGGGATGGAAAATTGTTTCAGCCCATCTTTTCATTGGTTCTGCTGTTCCAGAATTTGTCTTGAGGCATTATTTTAAAGTTGCTTGGAGGGGATTTTGGAAAGCTCTGGCAAGTCCTTGCCTTTACTCTGCCATCTTGGCTCCTCCATTCCCCATCCCTTCATTTTTTACGTAGAGAAGTAGGCTCAGAGAGGTCAAGTGGTTTGCCCAAAGTGAATTAGGCTCATTATGTACTAAAGTTTTCACAAAGAAAATGATACAGACTAGTTATGTATAAGACAATGTACTTTTATTGAGGTGTGTGTTGCTTACAGAGGGGAAGATATAAAGCCTACCTTGAGGTACTTGGGGGCAGGGCCACTGAGTAGTAGGGGCAAAGAATATAACTGAAACATGGCCACTAGAGGGATCGGCATGGAGAGGCTGGGGTATAGCCGTCTTAGAGCCATAGCAGGAAGCAGGATGGGTGTCAGGGATGCTCTGCCATTGAGACCGTCTTTAGATTGTGCAGACACAGATTCTAGCAAGCTCTTCATCTCTTTGATGTGGGAAACCTTTACAAGACAAGGCATCTCACATTTTCATGGTGGTTTTGCTTTTATATAAAAATATCCTTAACCTTAAATCTTTACCTTCCACCCTCCCCCCCCTTGAGGTCATGGGTGGGAAACAATTTTTGATCCACATGAAGCACTATTAAGGACTATTACAAAAGAGTAGTATGTCTTCTGACAGGCTTTTTGCATGACGGTATAAAAGTGAAAGGACAAAAAGCAGGGAGGAAATGTGTAGGGATTTTTTTTTTCTTTTTAGGTGACTGGGGTCAAGTGACTTGCCCAGGGTCACACAGCTAGTAAGTGTGAAGTGTTTGGTCTGAGACTGGACTTGAACTCAGGTCTTCCTGACTTCAGGGCCAGTGCTCAATCCACTGTGCCACCTAGCTGCCCCAAGGAAATGTATAGGAAGCTTCACTTGTAGAGGGTCTACTATATTCTCAGTATAGACCAGATTACACAGCCACACAGTGACTTCAGATCACTTTATTTGTCCATTCTTGTTTCTTGGTTTATAGTTGTGATTGTGGCTTGATTTAGTATTTGTTAAATACCTATTATATGCATGCTAATGAAAGCCAATATGCATCATCTTCAGATGAAAAGGGAAGGTGGCCAACATTGTTACATGCTTCCAACTAGGCAAAGAGAATGAATGAGAAAAGTGGATTTTGATGGTCATTAAACTACTGAGAGGAGTAGCCTATGGTACTGGAAAGAATTTTACACATGGAGTCAAGAAAACCCTGGCTTTTAGGCCTGGCTCTGACATTTAATTTTGGACCTCATCTACAAAGGGGAAATGGTGGTATTTATAATACTTTCCATGTCCATTTCACAGAGTTGTCAGAGGGGTAAAAAGTAAAGTGCTTTGAGGTCATGAAAAGATGACTGATGTTAAATATAGTTTGAGTAAAAGAGGTGGAAACTATATATCTTAAAATAGCATTAATCAGTAGCATTAAAGGTGAGAAGGCATTAATTGGTAGGAAAAAAGATGAAGGTAGGGACTGGTCCATTTACTTGAGAAATTTGGCAACAGACAGAAGAGGATAGTTTGAAGTAGCTTGGCCAAGTCAAGAAAAGGCATTTTCAGAATAAGAAAGACCTGAGAATGTTTGTAAGAAAAAAGGGAAACAACAATAAAAAGGGAAGGCTGATCATTTTGAAGAAGGGCTAAAGTGAAAGGAGACAATACTGGAGGGGGAAAAATGAAATAGAGTATAACTTGTCCTTACGAGACTTATTTTGAATAGGCTACTGGGTGATCTCTTTACATTTCTTGCTGTAGATAATTTTTGTTGGTTGTCTCCCTCTTTAGATTGGAAGCTTCTGGAGGGCAGGGACTGTTGGTGACTTTCTTTTTATCTCCAGCACTTAGCACAATGACTGACACATAGTGAATATTTTGTACATGCCTGTTGCCTGGACGACAACACGGCTATTAGGTGGGAGAACCAGGATTCAAACCTGTCTCATTAGTCCAAATTCCAAAACATACTTGACTTCTAGGTGGACCGGGGCAGATTTTGTTGGGAAAGAGAGGAGAATAACCTCAAAATTTTATTCCCAAGGGACAATTCTAATTGAAATCTGAGCCTAAAGACTACTCTTGGCTTTCGTGATAAAGCTACTTATGTTTCATGTCTGTGTATTTTTGTGTCCTCCAGAATGACATTGTTTGTTCTGTCAGATGTTTGGCTTTGCTGTATTTTTTCCCCTTGAGTAAAAGGTAAAAGCAGATATTCTCCTCCTAGGATATCATGCATATAGTCAATTTACAATTAACCAATTTTCTTCAAAGTTAAGCAAAAATTGCAAGAAGCTTTCACTTGAAAGGTTTCTGTTTATTTGTAAGATACCAACTGAAAAAGTTAATGTCTTCTTCCCCCACCCCCTTTTCTCAGTTGTTTTCTTTAGACAGAGATGGAGATATTAACCTGGGTTTCCAGTCACTTCTCACTGAAATGAACAAACCAGTCACTTCATATCTGCTTGGAACTACCAACAGGCTCTTCGGAGAAAATGCTCTGAATTTCCTCCCAGTAAGTCACGTGTTTCTACTTAGTCATAAAATGATAATGAGGAATGGAAATGAAAACAGATATGTGATGAGGAAAACGGGATCTAAGTCTTAGATTAGATCAATCTTCTTTCCACTCTACCTTGCTGCCCTTGCTTGGATACTATGTGGTATTAAAATGTAATTTGCATGAACATTGTATGGGAAAAATGAGATGGAATATAACTTGTCCCTATGTGACTTCTTTTGAATAGGCTATGAATATATGGTTAAGATATGCTCTTGTTCATTGGGAATATGTGTGTGTATTTCTGATAAAACATTCATAATAAATCATGTGTGTTCTAAATATTGTTTTTTGTCCCTTCTCAGAAATGAGTCAGAGAAATGTCTCTGACATTCTTTTTTCCTGCCCTCTTCCAGTTTTTTAAAGAATCCTGTGAAAAATTGTACAATTCAGTACTGGAAGATGTTTGCTTTTCTGAAGAGGCAGAGGCTGTCAGGAAACACATAAATGCTTGGGTAGCAGAAAACACTGAAGGTTATAAATTTATTTTTTCATGTTGGCTATGTCAGTAATCTTTGCAGGAACATCTGTATCAGTTGCTACATCTTCACAGAACTACAAAACCTTGGAGGCTTTCTAATCCTATCTGTACCTCACCAAGGATCTCTTCCACAACAGACCTGACAAGGGGCCATCTAGGCTTTCCTTGAAGGTGTGTAGTGAGAGGTAGCACCCTACCCCATGAAGTGGCCCATTCCATCTTCAGAGAGCTATGATCCTTAGGAAGTTGTCATTACAGAGAACCCAAATAGATCTCTCTCTACCTTCTGTCCTTGGGTGGTCTTGCATTTTTCACCTACATCACAGCTCTATTGTGGCTTCTGGCACCACCAGTGATCAAATACAATGATGCCTGTATAGTATCCTAGAAGCTCTACCATATTTTCTTACCTTACTTTACTACAGCCATCTCCATTGATGTTTGTATCATGTCCTCCATTTCAACCTGATGCTGAAGTACTCCTATACAATCATCCCTTTCCCACTTTCTATACTTTGCTTACCCTGTTTGCCCATGCTGGGAATAGTCTACATTCTTCTACCAGTTTTTAGTCACTGAATGCTTCAGAATTTGTTCTTATTAAGTCAGATATAAATTCCATCTGGTTGTGTCCGGCATATTTTTGGTTTATCATATTGCACATGTTTGCATCTCTTTCCTGTATTTATTGATGGGAAGGGAAACAAAAATATCTTAAGCACTTACTTTTTGCCACTATGCTGAGTGTTTTCCAAGTAGTATCTGATTTGATCTTGACAGCAACCCTGTGAGGTAGATGTTACGATGATCCTCACTCTACAATTGAGGAAACAGAGGCAGATAGAAGCTGTGATTTACCCAGGGTCATACATCATAAGTGTCTGAGGCTGGATTTGAACAAAGGTCTTCTTGACTCCAGGCTCAATTCTTTATTCACTTTACCACCTACTTACCCCAGTAGATGATGGAGGACTAAGGTCTTAATCTAATGCCTCACCATGGAATAGAGGTGTTACCCTGGGTTCTTGGAGGTAGCACAATATCTAGCAGGTCCTATTAAACTGAAAGTGTTTGGAGTCTGGGTTCAGTGAAAGTCTCTGATTTTCTATTATCCAAGGGGCAATATAACTAAGTTCTGAGAAACTCATCTCAGAAGTTTGCCAACTAAGTTATGATTTTGTTAAGCCACATCAGTTTAAGAGGAAGTTGCAGTCTATGTCCATGGAGGGAACATAGATTCCTGAATCACTTAAGTATGCATTTTATTTGCAATTATTATGTGTCTTTCTATATCTTTTCTTAATTCAAGATTACAATTCCTTTGATAGTAGGGGCTATCCAATCAAAATCTCTGCTCTCTAATACAATATCATTGGGTGATACATAAAAAGGATAGAATGTTGAACTTGGAGTCAGGAAGACTTGAGTTCAAATCCTGGTTCAGATCCTTATTAGCTATATGACCCCGAGCAAGCCACTTATTCTTTACCAGCCTCAGTTTTCCCTTCTGTTAAATAGGGACAATAACAGCACCTAATGAGATAATAGATATAAAATGGATTACATACTTTGAAGTATTGGATAAACTTGGGCTATTATTATTATACATGAAAGTTTTTTATGACAATGAAGATTTTTTTTTCTTAAAAGTTTAATGTTCAGAGCTGGGTATGTTGGCACATGCCTATAGTCCCTGTTGCTGGGAAGGCTGAGGCTGCTGGATATCTTAATCTCATGAATTCTGAGCTGCAGTAGGGGTAAAACAGATCGATTATTTACACTAAGTCTCTCACCAATAAGACAAGCCCCCAGTAATAGAGGGCTACCAAGTTGCCTAAGGCCAGGTGAACCCATCCAGGTTGGAAAAAATGGAGGAAGTTAAAGCTTTCATGCTTTTTCAAAGCTTTTCATGCTATAGCATGAGAAGCTATAGCATTTCAAGTCTGGGTAAGATAGGGAGGTCTATCTCTTTCATTCACTTATCAAATTAACATTTTATTTCTTTGACCTCTGCTTAAGGAATGAAAATGGTCTTGTCACAAAACAAATTTCTGGCAACAAGAAGTATTTGGAGAGAAGAACAAGAATAAGCTTTTAGGGATCCCTGAAATGATTCAAGGCCTATCCAGTGGGACCTTAGGATAAACCAGACTTAGCCATTTGAGGATGACTTGAAAGGGAGAGAATATGAAGTCTCTTATATCGAGACAACTTTCAACTGATGTTGCTAAGGTTATTAGAAAAATTTCTCGGGCTGAAGAAGTATCATTAGCTATTTCTAGGTCCAAAAGTCCACTTTTAATTGACAGAAGACCTCCTTTCTCCAGACATTTGTTAACAGAAGCAGTGATTTCTGGCAAGTGGAATATGCCTGGCAGGCTGGCAGAAAGAATAATGGAGTAAAGATGCTGTGGCAGACCTATCTTTCATGCATTCTAAAGAAAATAATGATATTTATATTTATCAAAGAACACAACAAACATTAACTAGATAATAATTTCCCTTTATAGAGAAGGGATAATTAAGAGATTATCTGGAAAAGCACCCACATACATGAATTCAACACTGTATCAGAAATAGCAGCAGCCTTTTCATTTGCCATTTTTTAGGAGGGAGAGAATGTAAAGTGCTTATCAGATCTGAGGAAAATCACTTCAACCTTCTGGTTCTCATTTGTAAAATGATGGCTTTGATAAGGTAACTCCCTGCTCTAAATCTATTAATCCTATGATCCTTTTCCTTGCCATTATTTTGGCAACTGGATCTATTATTTCACTGACAAAGAAAGCCACCTGGTAAACTTCCTCTACTAGGGAAGATCAACACATAATCTGCCAGGTAGACTGTTAAGAGAGTTGCCTGTGGTACTGAGACATTAAAGAGTTTGTCCAGATAGTCCCTGTCAGAGATAGGACTTGAACTAACATATTCAAATTCCAAGATGAGCTTTCTATTTACTATACACATCCATATACTATACATTTACCACATTGTCTCTTAGATCCTTTTTTTTAATACGGAAAAAAATTAGGCAAGGCAAAACAACTGAATGAGAATTTAAGAAGATCTTGCCATGTTTCAAGAACTGTGCTAAGTGCTGGGGATACGAAGAGATAAAAACAGTCTCTGTTGTCAAGGAGCTCACAATCTAATGGGGGAGAAAGTAAACCCAAAACCATACAACAGCACATAAAGATACGTAGGGTGATAGATGTGTGGTTTCTAGCAACAATTTACTAAGTGTCTGCCATGTGTAACACAGAATAATCAATCCATTGTGTTCTCTCTCAGCTCTCCTGCCCACCTTCAAGCATTCTTATATGGCAACAGAAAACTTTAAAGCTCTTATGCCTTTCTTCAGTTCTTTTCCCCCTTGTGTGGTTATATCTATTTAAATATAGTCCCAGGGGAAAGCGATGGTTGTATTTTGGGAAATGAGAGCATTGGCCAGGGGTTGGAGGGAGGGAGGCAAGGGAGGCATCCAGCATAGTGTGCTTGACCAGCACGCCTGAAGGGAAGCAGATCTGGGAAGTTATTTTCTGGCTACATAGTGGAAGAAGTGTCAACCCACGGGGCTACACGGGCAGCTTGATCGTGGGATTTTCAATTTTTTTCTTCCAGATGGAAGAAGGGCTTACCTACGAAACATTTATAACCTGGACAAAGCCAGAAGCAGCGGACTTGATGGAAATTCTTAGGAAACAATTATTCCTCCCTAGAATCAAGATAGAGGAATCTTATGACATGGTTCATATTCTCTGCAGTTTGGGAATATCTGATGCCTTTCATGAGGATAAGGCTGACTTTTCTGGACTGTCAACACTCAAAGATTTGCACCTATTAAGTGTTTTTCACTCATCTTTCCTGGAATTCACTGAAGAAGGTATCAAAGCATCTGCTGCCACTGTAGCAGTGGAGATACCAGGAAATGCAAAGGGAAAAGAAGGACTTAAGAGTCCTAGTTTATTCTTTTTCTTGATCTGGAGCCATAAAATTAAGAGCATCCTGTTCTGCGGCAGAGTTTGCATTCCCTAAAGTGATGTACTCACTCTCCCCAAAGCACTGCTGTTTCTGCTGCTCCCCCACCTCTCTCTTGTTAAGCTGCATAAGGATGCTATGTGTGCATGCAATTCATGGTGAACTTATCAATGCAGTGCAGCAGGAAAGAAAAATTAGTAAAGTACTTCATTATGAAACACTGCATATGGACCATATAACCCTATACATTTTTGCTCTTAATAAAGCATACCCACTTACTGGCAGACTCTAGGGTCAAGGTCAGGAGTGTGAAAACTGCTTAAAAGGGAAAAAAGTCTACGCTATGGTCACTTGGGTAGGAGTGTCTAAAGATATTAAAAAGCAAATATATTCCCCTCTTTTTTATGCTCTTCTTAACAGATAATACTTTTATAAAATCCTTGTTGGTTGATCACTAAGTCAATCAATCTGGCAAATACCACTATTTTGAGCACCTGTACCTTTGCTCTCTTGAAATTAAATGGCAGAACAATATATGCTGTGTGTGATTGTGAGTTCTATGTTTTCAGCAGCAAGAAAGCACTTATGATTGATTAGTAGGAAAGGTAAGGTGAGAGTCCAATTTCTCCTTAGAACCTTTGAGAGATTTTGCTTAAAGGAACTATTAACAATCAACATACCTAACTGGTTATGAGTCAAAACAGAGAAAGAAAACAATATGCACATATCTATAATATGTATGAGTATACATAGCTACACATCTATATATCTATCTATATCTACATCTATATCCCTAATCCGTCAGTAAGCATTTATTAAGTGCTCTTTATATGCCAGCCACTAAGCCAAGTGCGGAGAATACAAAAAAAGACAAAAGACAATCTCTGCTCTGAAGGAGCTCACAGTCTAAGTAGGGAGACAACACGCAAACAACAATGTACAATCAAGATTATATGTATATTTGATATATATATGTATATTATATATATGTATATTATATATGTACATTATATATGTATATTATATATGTATATTATATATATATGTATAAAAGAAGTTGGAGATTATCAACAGAAGGAGGTCTCTACATTAATGGAGATCAGGAACTACTTCTTGAAGAAAGTGCATATGTAGCTGGAACTTAAAGGACGCCAAGGAGGACAGGCAGTGGAGATGGAGAGAGGGAGATTTCCAGACATAGGTGACAGCCAGTGAAAATGCACATAAATGAGAGAAAATGTCTTCTTTGAGTAAGAGCAAAGAGGCCAGTGTCATTAGATCACAGAGTACATGGAGGAGAGCTAGGTTATAAAGGACTTTGAAGATGCAAAAGAAATTGATTTGATATTTATCCTGGAAGTGATAGAAAACCATGAGAGTTGCTGAGTAGGGGGAAGGGAAAGGTGCCATGGTGAGAATTGTGCTTTAGGATGAATAGAGATTTTAGGCAGGGACATTAAGCAGAAGGCCATTACAATATTCTAGGCTTGAGGTAAGAAAGATCAGCAAGAAAGTTACCGCAACATATGTTACAGATTACATACTATTACTATGTTTTATTACTATTACATACTATTACTATGGATTTATTTCAGGAATATAGAGTTGGTTCAGTACTAAGAAAACAATAAACAAACAAAAAGCATATAAATGTATCAATGAGCATATACAAATTTTTAACAAAATACAATACCCATTCCCATTTATTCACACTCTAGAAAACATTGGAATAAATTGATCTTTGCTTAATATGTTAAATAGTTTAAATTTATAATCAAGAGTTAGCATTATATATAATAGGGATAAACTAGAATCCATTCCAACAAGACCATAGGTGAAGCAACAATGTCCATTGTCACCACTTGTATTTGATATATTGTTAGAAATGTTATCTATAGTAATATGAAAAAGAAATTAAGTGAATAAGCATAGACAAGAAATAAATGAAATTATCACTTTTTACAGATAATATAGTATACTTAGGGAACTCTAAAGCATTAACTAAAATTAATTGAAAGAATAACTTCATCAAAGTAAGAGCATGCACTCACGTAGCATTTACCTACATTACCAATAAAACTCAGCAAGAAGAAATAGAGAGATTTCATTTAAAACAACTACAAAATGTATAAATTACTTGGGAGTCTACCTACTAAAGAACATAAATGGACTATAGGAATATAAAAAACAAAATACTGTGTACAGAAATAAAGACATACCTAAATTATTGGAGGCACATTAATTTCTCATGGGTAAGGTGAGACATTGCAGCTAGGTGGCACAGTGGATAAAGCACTAGGCCCAGAGTCCGGAGTGTGACTTTGGGTAAGTCACTTCACCTCTATTTGCCTCAGTTTCCTCATCTGGAGATATCTGGATCACTGTCTCAAAGTGATCTACTGGAGAAGGAAATGGCAACAATATCTTTGCCAAGAAAACCTCACAGGGGTCACAAAGGGTCAGACACAACCGCATGACTGAACAACAAGTGGAGACAATAAAGACAATAATACCTAAATTTACGTACTTGTTCAGTGCCATATCCATCAAACTACCGTTGATTACTTTATAGAACCAGAAAAAATAATAATGAAATTCACCAGGAGAGACAAAAGGTCAAGAAGAAGCTTAAGGAAAATAATTTTTAAAAGTATGAAGAAAATGGGGCTGGTAGAACCACATTCCAAACTAAGTTACAAAGCAGTAATCACCAAAACAATTTGGATTAAAAATAGAGTCACTGATCAGTGCAGTATGTTAAGTATACAGTATACAAAAGCAAATGAACACAATAACCCAGCGGTTGATAAACACAAAGACTCTACCGCTATTTGACAAAAACTGCTAAAAGAAAAAAGAAAACTTGACAAGCTAAGATAAGCTCCAAATAGATATATGACTTGGATAGAAAAAGTCACATCATAAACAAATTAGAGGAACACAGAAGAAATTACCCTTAAAGTCTATAGAGAGGGGAAGAATTCATGACCAAACAAAGGATAGAAGAATGTAAAAGATAAAATGGATAAGTTTGATTGCAGAAAATTATAAAGTTTTTGGGCAAATACTATGCAGCTAAAACTAGAACGGAAGCCATTCACTTGGGGGAAAAAATTTGCAGCCAAGTTTCTCTGAAAAAAATCTCATTCTCTAAATCTCTAAGATATATAAAGGACTGATTCAAACGTATAAGAATAAAGACTACTCCCCAACTGATAAATGGTTAAAGGATATGAACAGGCAGTTCTCAAGAAAAGAAATTAAAACTATCTCTAGCCATAATGAAAAGAAAGTCTAAATCACTAACAATTACAGAAGGGCAAACTAAAACAATCCTGAAGGTCCCTCTCACACCTATCAGATTGACAAAAAAGACAGAAGAGAAAAAGACAAATGATGGAATTGCTGTAGGAAAACAGGCAAATTGATGCACTGTTGATGGAGCTATGAATTGGTCTGCCATTCTGGAAAGCAATTTAGAAGTACATCCCAAAAATTACTAAACTGCTCAAGAGTCATCAAAGAAAGAGGGAAAAGTCCTTATGTATAAATGCATTAATAGAACTTCTTTTTGTAGTGACAAAAAAACAAAAACAAAAACTTGTAACTAAGGGAATGTCTACCTATTAGGGAATGGCTGAACAAATAATTATGTCATTTTAATTTAATGGTATCTAATAGTGCTATAAAGAAATGAAAGCATTTCAGAAAAACCTGGGAATACTTGTATGAACTAATGCAGTGTGAAGTAAGTAGAACTAGGAAATAATTTATACTATAATATCACTTTATAAAAACAAACAATTATGAAATACTTAAGAATTCTGATCAAAATTTAAAAAAAAGAACTGATCAAGACAGAGATCAATTATGATTCCAGTGAATTGGTGGTGAGGAATGCTGTCCATCTCAATAGAGAGAGGTGATAAATTGTCTTATCTATTTCTATTATATCTATAAATACAGTATTTGGATGTAGTCAATGTGGGAATTTGTTTTGCTTGACTATGCTTATTTACTAAAAGGATTTTATATTTCTTTTTTTTTCCCTCAGTGGGGAGCAGGGCAAGGTAGGAGGGCAAAAAAATGCTTTGTAGTTGGAAAAATAATTTTAATTGTAAACATATTTTAAAAGCCAGTACTAAACATATTCTTTACAAACCTCAATGCAATACAATCAGTAACTAATACATGGTATGAAGTCAAAAGATACAGACTTACATGTAGATTTCATAATGATATCTTGAATGAGCAGGGAATCAAAAACCAAATAATAGAAATAATAAATAACTAGTTGAAACATAATGATGAGATAGCATACCAAAATTTCTGGCATTCAGCTAAAGTGTCCTTAGAGGAATGATTATGCCTCTGGAAAACATACATCAAGTTTGCTTTTTAATGAAACTGATGGACTCTATATGTAATTTTAAAATTGCTAATTAATCCTTAAATAAACAGGAAAAAGATAAAATGGAAAATTTTCAAGAGGAACAGATAAAAGGGAAACATTTTTTAAAACCCAATGCTTAACACTGAATACTATTAAAGGTGGACCTTCTGGTGATTAATTAATACTTGGAGCTCTTCTTCAAGGAGGATTTAATTATCTACTCCACCTAATCATCGTTGCTTACCCGGGCGCGTTTTGTATGGTCATACTACAATTGTGGTCCCATCTCCTCCCAATAATAGCTTGGCTTCTGCAGCTCTTCAGTTTCTGCATGAGTTCCCTTATAGATCACATGGCTTTTTTTATATGCTCTTACATGAAACTTGAACTTAATTATTGCTTAAGAAGGAATAATGCTGCAGATAGCTTCTGCATCCACTCAAACACAGTATGCTAACCATAGACTCCATAAAACATTTCCAAAAGTAGTTTCATTCCCCTGGAGTAAGAGTTGCACTGTTTAGACAAAGTTACTTTCGAATTCAACCTTATGACTAAACACCAAGAAGCAGATGACTTTTAATGTTTCATTTAAGGTTTCCATATTCTTGATTTTTCTTTTTCTCTTTTGGCTCAGACTTATAATATCATCACTGTAGGTAGG